TTTATTATAATTATTGTTTTAATCTTTATTATAATCTTTATTATAATCATTATTATTATTATTTAAAAGGATTATTGTTGCTGGGTATGGTGGTGCATGCCTTTAATCCCACATTTCTTCTCTAACTGAAAGAACATTACTTAGTCCCACATAAATGTAAGGACTACTAACACCCTCAGGTACCCTAGAGTAAAAAGGAACTTTGATTAGTAGCAGCCTACTTTTTTGATTCATTTACAGGAAGAGGGTTGGGATATATCCAAGTGCTTTCATCCACAGGCCCTAGGTTCAAGCCTCAGGACTGCAATGGGGAGAAAAAAAGATTACAGGGAAAGATTTGGGCTGCAGGATGAGCAGAACTCTAGGTACCAGCTGGTGTCTTGGGCCATTGCCTGGGCTCTCCCTCTGGATCTTCTGTAGATCCTCAACTAAGGCAGCTAAGAGTGACTAGGAGAAAAGAACCCAGTTTTGTTTGTTTGTTTGTTTGTTTTGGTTTTTTTTAATTTTTTTATTTTTTGCAATTTATTCACTTTATATCCCAATTGTAGCCCCCTCCCTCATCTTCTCCCTGTCCCATCCTCCCTCCCTCTTCCCACCTATGCCTTTCATCTAGTCCACTGAAAAGGGTAGTCCTCTTCCTGGGGGGACTTCTCTCCTGTCATCTGCCTATAGCTAATCAAGTCTCATCAGGATTGCCTGGATCCTCTTCCTCTGTGGCCTGGCAAGGCCACATTGCCAGGGGAAAGTGATCAAAGAGCAGGCAACTGAGTTCATGATAGAGGCAGCCCCTGCTCCTCTAACTTAGGACCCACATGGAAACTGAGCTGTCTATCAGCTACATCTGAACAGGGCTCTGAGGTCCTCTCTAGGCATGGACCTTGATTGGTGCATCAGTCTCTGTACAGCCCTTGAGTTTATCAAGCATCTGCTTCCATACCCTGTTGGGTGGAGACTTTTAGGGGCCATCTATAGTAGGCTACTGTCCTGTTCTCTCTCTTCTATCGTTTCTGGTGTCTATCCTGTTTGCCATTCTGAATGAGATTTAAACATCTTCCCTAGGGTTCTCCTTGTTGTTTAGCTTCTTAAGTCTGTATATTTTATTAAGTTTATCTTATATTGTATGGCTAATTATCTGCTTATAAGTGAGTATATACCATGCGTGTCTTTATGGAGAACCCAATTTTTAAGGGTACAGGCCCTGGTGAATCAACCACTATCTTCTGAAAAGTAACGCATCCAGGCATACATGGGCAGCACAGACCCTCTGATATGGGGGATGATGTAAAATTGATTGGGGAGGGAGGGAGGGAGGGAGGGAGGGAGGGAGGGAAGGAAGGAAGGAAGGAAGGAAGGAAGGAAGGAAGGAAGGAAGGAAGGAAGGAAGGAAGGAAGGAAGGAAGGAAAAGTGGGTCTTTGAGGAGTGAATATGATAAAAATATGGATTTTTCACATAACCAGTAAGAAATGGAAAATATTTTGCTGATTATTCTTCATCCATTTATCTCATTCTTGATTACATTTATAATGACATTTCAGCATCATTAACTGAAGCAAGATCTTCAAAATCAAGACCTATTTTCATTTTTAAGTCATTCAAGTTTGCATTGTATCAATATATTTCAATAAGCCACACTTTCTAGTTCTCATAATTCTGCTTAAGTGTCTGTAGACATTGTTTCCTGATGCTTGCTCTAGTAGAGAAAGACATTTTGCTTCAAAAATGGGAATGGTATGGCCTGCTTTTGGATCACCTTCCCCTGAGGGGGTGGGGCAGCCTTACCAGGCCTCAGAGGAAGACAATGCAGCCAGTCCTGAGGAGACCTGATAGGCTAGGGTCAGAGGGAAGGGGAGGAGGACCTGAGAGAGGATATCAGTGGACTTGGGGAGGGGCGTGGGAAGAAACAAGGAGGGAATGTAGAATTGGGAGGGGATGAAGGAGGAAGTTACAACTAGGATACAAAGTGAATCAAATGTAATTAATAAAAAATAAATAAAATTTTAAAAAGAACAGAAAAAACATGGGAATGGTACAGGGAATATACCTGTGCAGTGAAATGCTTTGTGGTTTGATCACCATACAAACATTAAGCAGGAGATCAATATGTGGAAGGAGAGAGGAATAGGAACAGGAGTCCTTCTGAGGTTTTGGAAACTCAGTCACATTGTACTTTTTCTTTTACTATGGAATTGACTGTATTCAACAAGGATGGTCTAAAGTAGACCAGTAATCCAGATGGCAGTTACACTCTCCACATCTCCACTGTGAACTGCCAGCTGTACAGCCGTACTGCTTTCTGTCCCCATGCCATCAGCTTGCAGACCTAACTCCTTCCCTGGGCCCTGTGCCAGCCTCTGTACTGTGCTGTTTAGGGGCTTATTCCAGCTCTCAATGTGGACTTTGTCTTCTGGTACTTGTGCTCGGTGTTTACCTATTTTGCCTTCTGCCTCCTGAGATGGAGGTGAGAGGAGAGACTGCCAGTTTTGGTTTTCAGACCCTTTATATCCCAAATTGCCACAAGCATCTTCATTGATTGGATCATAATTGTTTTGTCAGAAAAATTATGAGGGGTGTGTGTGTGTGTGTCATGGTGTTAGTGGTAGTATATGCCCCAGTGCCTATGCACAGAGGCTGCAGGAGGACATCAGGTGTCCTGCTCTTACTCATCTGAGACAGGGTCTCTTACCGAACCTGAAGCCAACAAGCCCAAGGGATCCTCCTGTCTCTGTCCCACTCAGATGTAGAGTTATAGGTACATGTACAGCCATACTTGGCTTTTTTTTTTTTAATGGATGCTGAAGATTTGATCTTGGTTCCTTATGTTTGCACAATAAGTACTCTTAGCCACTGAGCCAGCCCTGTAACTGTTTTTGTTTGTTTGTTTGTTTGTTTGTTTGTTTGTTTTTGGCTTTTTGAGACCAGGCTGGCCTTGAACTCAAAAACTCAAAAATCTTTCTGCCTCTGATTTGCAAGTGCTGGGATTAAAGGTGCACCACTATACTGGGCTATGCATTCTTAATTATAGTAACCAGCTAAGCCAGAAAAATCACATAAAAGAGGAATAACAGTTAGCAGACTTAGCTCTTCTTGTGGAAGAAGGAAGAGCTAAGATAGGCAGTTCTGGAGGCCAGGGTACGGGTCAGTGGTGAATTCAGTCTCTCTTCTTCCTGGGCTTAGGTGCTGTGGTTGATGTAGATGAGAGCACTGCTTTCTCATGGCCTGTGTGTGACCGGTGTGGCAATGAGAGATTGGAACAGAAGCCAGAAGATGGGTAAGGCTGCCTGAAACCCCCAGGGCATAAAGGACACAGCCTGAGAGTCCTGCAACCTTCTAGCATATATGTAGGTTCTGCAGGCACTGAGGGACCCACTCTGCAGAGCTGAAACATAGAGGCTGTGGTGCCGCTTTGTGGGTTTTCCTAATAGAGAACCCAGTCTTTGAGGTGTTTTCTGTCCTTAAAAATGTAGAGTTGAGTTTTGTCCTTAGTGCCTTCATTATTAGAAGAAAGGGAAAATGTGAACAGATAGGACAAGCTGCATGGCATGATCCAGGAGTCCTGCAGACTTCCCCTGAGGACACTGAGAAGCTGACAGCAGACACCCCTTTCCTGCCCACTTATCTTACCCTCCTGGGCTGAGGTCAAGGCTAAATATTTGTCTTAGTTATGTTTTCTTTGTTGCTGTGATGAGATACTGTGACCAAAAACAAGTTGCAGAGAAAAGGATTTATTTGGTTTACACATTATACTCCATCATTGGAGGAAGTCAGGACAGGAACTCAAACAGGACCGGAGTCATGGAGACAGGATGAAGAGGCCATGGAGTGGTACTGTTTACTGGCTTGCTCCCCATTGCTTGCTCAGCTTGTTTTCTTATAAAGCGCAGGGATGGTATCACCAGCAATGGACTGGGCCCTTTCTCATCAATCATTAATTAAGATAATGCCCTACTGCCTACCACCAGATCTTAGGAGGCATTTTCTCAAATGAGACTCTCTCTCTTCAGATGACTATTTTGTGTCAAGTTGTCATAAAATGCTGCAGCACAGTGTTGGTACCGCTTGTTTCTCTAGAGTGACTCTCTGCCTCCCAGTGGACTTTGTCATATGACAGACCAAAATGTGTCATTAACTTGTCTGTTTCTTAGAAGCAAAGAGCAGGGCCTAGAGAGATGGCTCAGCAGACAGAGTTTGAATTCCCATCACCCACATGGCAGCTCACAGCTGTCTGTGACATTAGTTCCAGCGGATCCACTGCACTTTTCTGGCTTCTTCAAGCACCAGGAGTATATCTGATGGACAGGGTACCTACAGGGAAACATCCATATATATAAAATAATATCATTTTGATGCCTACTGTGATGTTGGCCTTGTGGGTACACAAGTCATTTCTGGATTATGTCAAAAGAGGCAAGGGAACATGGATCCATGTGAAAGCAGTGTGGGAATGAAGACAACAGGGTTGCTGAGCAAGGTTGACCTGCCAGAAGGGTGGGAAACTCACTCCCCTGACTGCCTTAAAGGTCTGGCCTCATTTCCTAGAAGACTCCTGTGCCCAGTACTCCTCATGAGGAATGCCTCTTTGTGTATCCAAGGGGGCAGCTTGCAACTGTTAACTCACCAGAACAGTCCCAGTTCCTGCCACTTTTGACTTTCCAAAAATTTAATTCTAACAGCAAAATTTCTCTCGCTAAATGTTTAAAGAAACTTCTCTTTGCTGTCCAACTCTTCTGATACATGTCTTTCTGGTTGCTTCTCACAACAGAGGCTCCTTCTCCTGTGGGGACTGTTCCCAACTAGTCATGTCACCTCTTCAAAAGAGGCAACTGCACGTCTTTCTGCATTGTCCCATGAGGCCCAAGAGTACCGTGAAGGTCAAGGTAGGGAAAGGGACTTGAAACTCATGTTTGATTCCATGTGTCTACTCTGCAAGGATGAGGCTGGAGCTGGGGTATATGTGTGATCTTTTGTTCACCTTGTGGCAAACTGAGTACACCAAAGAGGAGATTTGGTAAGAACTCTTCAGCCCCTGGGAGAAGAAGCGGGTGTTACCTATCACAGTTTTTGTACATGGTATCCTACTTTACTTAAGGCTCCAAGGCTGTTGCTCTGAACAGGAGACAGAGAGCTTACATTCAGTGTAAATCTCCTGCTAGGAGTACCTTGGGTGAGTACTTGCCACTTGGAATCTCATTGAGCCCTTCTTCCTTGTTACTGCAGCTGTTGGAGAGAAGTATTTCCTCACTGCTGATGTCTGCTACCTCCAAGGATGGGGTAAGTCCCAGCCTGAGTGTGTCGCATGCTTTTGAATCTGAGTGAGGTTTTCCCTTGATGAAGACCCCTTTGCTGTATGTGATCATTTACAACAAACCCTACCATAACACCACCAGTCACTTATATGTTAAAACATACCCACCTTGCCACTGTCATACTTATAGAATGGCAGGATCAGTTTCTTTCCTCTTTGGAAATGAGATTATTTACATATCAACCATGAAACAGATAGCAGGAATCTTCTTTTGGCTTCTGTTATAGTCATATAGCGTGGAGACAAGTGTCCTTCCTCATGACTTCCCAGTCACAACACAGAATTGCTAAAACATGCTTTTTATTACGTTTATTTATTTGTATGTTTATTAAGTGTTTGTGCACATGTGTGTGCATGTGTTTGTCTCAATGTGTACATCAATACATCCCACCGTACACAGTAGATGTTAGTGGGCAACTTATAGGAATTGGGTCTCTCCTGCCCTGTGGTTCTCCAAGATTGATTGAACTCAGGTCATCAGGCCTGATGACAAATACCTTTACCTACAGAGCTATCTTGCTGGCCCTGTGACATACTTTTAGCTTTTTCACTGCTGAATAACATTATCATTGTTGTTATTTCTCAGAACTTTGGGGTTGGTTGCCTTGAGGATTACTATATCAAGACTTAGTAAACTGTGGCATATGCCTCCAAAAAAAGAATTACCACACTGTGAAAAGCTCTTTGCCCTTTGAAATGCCACTTACCTTTTAAAAGCCACTTGAGGACACTGTAAGGGGCTGAGGATGTAACATGCACAGGGCCCTTGGACCAGAAGTTCAGGATTATTCTTAACTACATAGCAAGTTTGAAGCTAGCCTGTGGCTACATGAACCCTGTCTATAAATAAATGCACCATTGATAACTGTTGAAATTGATAACCCAGAAAGGGGTGTCTGGGACTGCCACCTGAGAAGGCATCAGTCTTGTTTAGCGTGGTACAGGGAAGCTGACCAGAACAACTTTGGCTACCAAACAGGAGTATTTTCTTAATGATCCCCATGGCCCAGTTCCAGCTTGAATGTGTGCAGTGTTGACCCTCTTGTCAGGTTCCTTATTAGCCCCTCCTGCCTATCCCAGCCAGTGCCAAACAGGGCAGCCCATATACAGAGCCAGCATGAATCCTCTTCTGTCTACACTAGGGCTGCCATAGTTTGGATGAAATTAAAAGCTACATAAATAAGCTTTGAGGGGTATTGGACTGATCTGTGGTTCTCAACACTGACTTCACAAGATGCCACAGTTTCTGTCCCCCTGGAATAAAGCCCACCAGCTTTAAAGCTCTTCAGTGGCCTTGTACTCTGTCCTAAAACTTTCATCTGAGCTGCTGCTGATACTGTCACTGTTGTCCGAATAAAGAGTCATGCTTTGACACCATGTTAGAGGACACAGAAGCTGATATTTTTTTTATTATATAGCAATCACCATGGCCTAAGAATCAAGACCATTGCATCATTCACACATTGTCCTCACTGTCACCCATCTCCATGAGGGACTCACCACAAAGACATCCACCAAGGTAGCATTTATCTCTGCAGAAAAGAACAGCTTGTGGTTGGTGTCCAACCCAGGTGGGAAGCATGAGACAGGGACTTGAAGAACTTATGTTGTTTAAAAGGGAAGGAAGCAGTATCTATTAGCTGAAATTTATCTCCTGCCTTTTGGTCTTTATGAGAGGGAAGGTGAAAGAATCGGTGATGTTAGACCAGGAGAACACCAAGACTGATAAGTTAGAAGTTTCCAGTGTGATGTAAGTGCTCAGGTGGGGGCTTTAAGAAATGGATGTGGGTTTTCTAAGAACATACTCTGTGGAGAAAGTTGGGGAAAGCATGGCACGTCCTGCTTGAGAATGAGTAACAAAACGAACTCTACCTCCCCACCTAAACAAACTTCAGACCCATAATCATCCATATCCACATCTCATTCATGTACCTAGAGGCTGTTGTCTGCCCTCTGACTCAGTGCCACCATAGCACACATGTTCCAAAACGGCAGTGTCTAGTGTGCTCTGTAAGGTAATGTCTCCTTAGGAACCCAGACACCAGGAAACATTGTCAGAAATCCTCCCTCCCTTCTTTGATTTCCTGCTGAGGTATCTTGTTTCTCCAGCACACTTAACTTCTCAAGCAGAATACTCTGGTAGCTGAAAACCTGGCGGTAGAGCTTTAGAAAGTCATGTGGGCATGTGTTCCTGCGTGTGGAAATCAGGAATCTTGTATATGAGTCTACTTGGACACTGGCTGTAGTGTGTGTGTGTGTGTGTGTGTGTGTGT